ATATATTTTTGCTGGGTATAGAATTCTAGGTGGACAGTTTTTTTCTTTAAAGATATGAGGAAAAACTCTTTCCAGGGATATGTGAGCTCTGAAGATTATTCTACCTGTTTTTACCAGTGGTTCTTCTTTCAGCCTTGGTGCTTTCCTCCCATGCCTGCACAGAAACTCGAGGGGACCCCTCTTTGAGCTTTCTTGCAGTCTAGTTTCCCACTATGTTACTCTACTTTTCAAATTTGAGTCACATTAGCTTCCCTGAACTCCAAACACTGTCTCCTCAGCTCAGCAAGGCTACTGGCCTCTGTTTGGCTCCAAACCCCATGCTGTGGCCTGGTCACTCCCTCATTTGTTTCCTTTCTCTTAGGGATCACTAACCTGTACTGCATCTGAATGGCTAAACATCATTGCTTCATATATTTTGTTTGACTACTAGTCATTTAAGGCAGAAAGGTAAACTAGTCCCTGTTATTCTGTTATCACCAGCTATGCCTTTAAAAAAATCCCCGTACTGTTAGGATTCCTTTTTGTTTTTTGTTTTTTTTGAGTCAGGGTCTCACTCTGGTGCCCAGGCTGTACCTCCTAGGCTCAGGCAATCTTTCTGCCTCAGCATCCCAAGTAGCTGGGACTATAGGTGGGCACCACCATGTCTGGTTTTTCTTTTTTTGTGTGTGTGGAGATGAGGTTGTACTATGTTGTTCAAACCCCTGAGCTCAAGTACTCCATCTGCCTTTGCCTCCCAAAGTGCTGGGATTACAGGCATGAGCCACTGTGTCTAGCCAAGGATCTATTTAATTTACTTTTTATTTATTCAATGTACAATTTTTGGTATGTACTTGCATTCTTGGGCCCTTTGCAAAACATCCATTGCCCCCCAGGGGTCCATGGCCTATGGTCAAGAGCCACTGGTTTAGTCCAGTAGAAGTGGAAGGTCTCACTGTCTTACTCTTATACCTACAGCGTATTTTCATTTTTTCCATGGCCTTGCTGAGAATTTACATTTTCCCCTTGAAAACTGATATTAGGAGAAACCTTACTCTTTCAAACCCACCCTTTTACCTTGGCAGAATTCAGTAAGGTAACCACCCAAAAAATATAGACCTGGTTTTAGCATTTGCATATCAAGTGCAGCCCAAATAAATCCCAAGATGCTATGTGATCTAGGTTTATTATTGTATTCCATCCAGAGATACAAGGCTCAGCAACCAAAAATAATTAAAAAGTAACCACAATTTTTTTTTTTTTGAGTCAGAGTCTCCCTCTGTTCCCCAGGCTGGAGTGCAGCGGCACACTCACGGCCACTGCAACCTCAACCTGCTGGGTTCAGGCAATCCTTCCGCCTCAGCTTTCCAAGTACCTGGGACTACAGGCACATACCACCACACTCGGCTAATTTTTTGATTTATGGTAGAGATGAGGTCTCACCATGTTGCCCACACTGGTCTCAAACCCGTGGACTCAGGCAATCCTCTTGCCTCTGCCTCCCAAAATTCTAGGATTACAGGTGTGAGCTGCCATGCCCAGCTAACCCCAATCCTTAATTAGTGCACTCATATCATTAAAGTCAGGGGTGCAATCTATAATCCACAGTAATGCTTGTTTTATCTTTCCTCTCCTCTCACATTCTCTCATATCCAGAAAACCTCTTTAAACTCAAAAACATTGTCTCTGACACCCAAACTTATTTTTCTCTTGGTCTAGATAGGTGATTACTAATCCATGGGGCCATAGACCCCTGAGGAACAATAGATCCCTGTATATACCAATAATTGGCTATATACTGAATTATAAAACAAAAGAGTGAAGTTACTACCGTATGGGAACTTTTGAAACTTCTGACATTGAAAATGGACCCAGAATAGTACAGAAATTTTATCAAGCCAAAGAGATAATAGCTAAAATTATGGACTAATGGAATCAAAAACTCCTGTCTCCTCTTCTTCTGACTCTTTATTATAGATAAAGATTTAACTTACCTGACTTTGAATTTTTTTCATTTTTGTTTTGCCTGTTTTTCAGATTATCAATAACAAAGGAAAAACAGGAACTAACCCAGCAAATAAAAATTCTTACCGTTTGGGACTATTAATAAGTCTGTCCTCATATAAGTATTGAGCTTACAACGCTATCCATCTGTTATATGGCAGGAATAGCTCTCTGTACTAGCCATGAAAAGTGGACCTCTCCTTGCTAGACTCTTTCATTTGCAACACCACATCTTTGGGAAGAGCAGCCTTCTGCTCCAGATCTGAGGCTCAGGAAGGCTTGGAAAAGGAAGGCTGGTTTCTGTTTCTAAGACTTTTTCCCTAGCTGCCAGAGGCAGAGAAGCAGCAAGTGCTTGTTAGGGTATGGACAGGGTGAAGGTGGATGGAGAGGTGGAGAGGCAAGGAGGGACGCAGCACCAGTAACCCAGAGATCCGAGTAATTGCAAAGAATTGCAACACACATAAAGGTTAGAAAGAAAAGTTTATTTAAAAGTAAATTAGAGAAAGAGCAGGGAGAGAAAAGATTTACCTCCCCATGGTGGGGGAGGGGGCCAAAGCCAGGAAGCTGGTGACAGCCATGGCTCAAAGAGCACATGGGCACACCAGAGTCTAGCAAGGCAATGGCCTCTGGTTGCTTATGGTTGAGTCCTTTTAACCATTCCCCTAGATGTGGGAAAATCATTAAGGTGACTCGTTGGTGGTCTGCTTCCACATCATCACAAAGGGGCAGGCAAGCACAGGTACTGACGTCAGGTGATGGACAGCAGGCAGATGGGTGAGTTAGTCACATGATTGCTGCCATGCTGGGGCTTATCTGTGTCACATAGGTCACAAAGGGCTGATTAGGTTAACCCTGGGGGGATTCCTGCAAGAGACTTGTTAGAAATTTGCAATTCACAAACTCAGACATTTGCTGCTCACTAACTCTTATGACTTTGGCCAGCCAAAGGGTGATCTTTGATCTTCGGCCTTGCCGAGGAACCTAAAAGTTTACTGGAGATTATTATTATGCTAAACCATGAATTGGAAGGTTGGGTTGTCCTGGTCTTGCATCTGATGGAGATTTGCCAAGGGGGGTTGGGATAGGCGGCTGCTGCTTGGCCTGCAGTTGAATGTCTGAACGCTTTCTAATGGTTATGCTGAGGCAAAAAGACTAAACTAAGAATAAGCTAAGTTTTTTTCTAGGTTTCTATAGGTACCACCTTTCACTTGT